TAAAATATATCAAAAGGACATAAATTCAATCTATATTCTCAATATAGGACTTTAACTACTTGTACGAAAGCTCAATTTATTTTGAAACTCAGATTAGTTGTTTTTATACTCTCCAGATGGCGCTCAAGACTCGCGCATCGTGAACCAATAGAATAAAAGGAACTTTGACGCAATTTGCAAATGGCCGTGAAAAGGATTGAACTCGAGGGTGTATGAAAGACTAAATGGTGGAAAAGTCCGTGACAAAAACTTGTGATCATCTCTTCGTCTAGTGTAGTGTTGTTGCAAATTATAAACATGTGCCAAATGGATAGACGCCAGTCTTAATAGTGGTTTTAGGAAGCGCCTGAAAACCACTGGTGGATTTAGAGAAAAGATTTGCTGACTGGGGTAAAGTCCTTGTATTATTCATTTATCGTAACGTTCATACTTCTATCCTTATTGATCTTATATTTAATTTTAAATACCTAACGATTTAGTATGTGGAGGACGATCTAGTATTTCCTACAAATAGTACAATGGTCGCCGGTGTATGCGTACGATCCATCGTCCATGTTTTAAGCGTAACTTGTAGGATTAACGAATTAATTTATAGTTCATTAGTAGAAAATTAACTGCATTTTAAGTTTTTAATATTAATATATCGTAATTTGTTCGGGATTTGAGGTCCTAGGCAATTAATATGGGATAGCTTATGTATAACATGTACATGTATGTCAAGAGGCACGGCCCTGTTGCTACATAGCATCGATTCGTACGTTAGCCTTATCAACTTATGATTTCACGAGGTTCATGCGTAAAAAACATCCACCAGATATCCAGACAAAATGATCTTAATATATTAGACAATTTATTACTGTTTGCAGTACTTACTAAGGTGCTACGTGTCGTGTTTGTTTCCTAATTAAAGCCTTAAATCATGATAATCATAGTGAATACTAGGACAGATCAATATTTTTCCATACCAATAACTTGAAAATAATATCTGTATGTATGGATAATACATAGAGATATTATATTCAAGTTATTGGTACCACACCTAGATAGATGTCAAGTCTTTGGAAATATGTTTTACATGATCTCCAATGCATGGTAGTAGTGGGCTATTGTCAAAATTTCATATTTAATAAGGGTAACAAAAGCTTGGTTGACTAGGATTTGCATTGTATTGTTTTTCTCTTTATCTTACATCTAATATTTTTAATGTTTTAAGCTTCTAATCGTAACAAATTATCTATTAAATGTTTTATCTTTATTCATAAATTACATATTTTATAAAAAGAAATAACTTTCAAACCTCTATTCAAAATGATACCCGTTTAATTGTGATAGGATGTTTGTCTCATTTTACCATTTTGCTGTTATGACAATATTTATTTTGGAGAGAAGAGGAAAACAAAATGTGCCCTTTTGAGTTTGTTTGTTACTACAGATATATTGCCAATAATACATTCAAACATATCTTTCATTCTCTAAAGAATTTTTTCAAAATTTCATGCACATCTTTAGAATTAAGCTATATACTGTTAAATTTACATGAACTATAATTGTAGGTGACAATATGTTGCTATTTTGTAAGTTTTCATGTCTGCTAACTGCCTTTCCGGTGCCATATTGTGAAATATTTACAGTTACATATAAATTAAAGACTGACCATGTCCATCCCTCCCAACAAGCTAAGTGTCAGTATTAATTGTATTTCTACCTATTATTGTACTGCGGCTCAGCACAGGTATCTTCTCTTGTAGATCTCCTAGATCGTTCTCTATTCTAATTTGAGCTTATTCAGTGCAGAGAATAAGGACTAACATCCTATTGTACTCTTCTAGGCACAAATGTGATACCACTTCTTACTTTTAAACTTGGGCTAGATACTAATGGGAAAATTCAATATACCAAGAAATATTTTCTTTATTGTCAGGTGCACTTATCTCTTGTTTCCAAACGGTAGTTCCTTTTCATCATAAGATTGTATAATGCTAGCTCTCTACATAACATACTTGAAATTGAGCGTTACACCGACCTTGTTTACGTAAGTGAGGTGTGAAATGCGTTAAAAATCACCTGGAATATTGTCTTGCTATGCTCCTTACTGGCTTTACAAACTGGTTGCCTCTATTTATGTATTCTCATTATTCATGTGCTGACAGTACAAATGTTTTAGTGATTGCTATACTAATGTTTAACAAAAATAAACAACTTTCTACAATTAAATTATGGATTTAAATCATTGCATACAATGTGTTAAAATTTGTGACCTGGTAGAGGTTGGTAGGTCAAGGTATTGATAAATTACTATATACTCCAAAGCCCCTCACAGGATGTTGTAAGTTTACCAAAATGAATTACTCTGTGGTAGTTAGTATAGATGCACCTTTAAACAATGACAGATATTACATCGCACAAGTATTAGATATTACTAAATCTTAATCATTATTACTAATCAAATAACAACATGCATGCATTAAACAACACAAGGTACTCTTATAAGATTACTACTTATCAAGACCTCTATAAATTATACTTATTATCAATATCATGTTTACTAAAGGGTTTAAAATATTATATTACTTTTTATGTAAAATAAATAAAATTACTTTTAAGCTCTCTGGCAGCAAACTGTGATACAAAATAGTTTTTATTGTACCATAATGAATGTACTTTTAACAACAATGTCATTCACATTCTTTTGTGTTTAATAAATAAACATTTTTGTATACGGATATGAAAAGTAAATGAATGCTGTACTTTACAGTGAACAATTTTTCAACACCTCTGCAGGTGTTGTGGATGGTACTTGAAGTTGATTACTAATATGTGTAATGCATTACATCTGAAATGTTATAGTCAAAGTAATACAGAACTAATTGATGTTGCCAGCTCTATCTTGTTTTAATGAAATAATTATGTGCATTGGTTGATAATAAGGTTTAAAAGATTTTAGGACTAGATAAAACATAATTATAGTAATATGATTGTTATCTTGACAAGTAAATAAGGTCATTTATATTAGAAAAATCCACATTTTTGTCATTTTGATGTTAATGTTATGTACATTTTTCTAACTGGGTAAAAAAGTACAGTGGTGATTTTAAAATAACAAGCCCTCATCCAATAATCAAATCACCTTAAGTGGATAATATTGGTGAGTCGACTGCATAGTGTTGTATAGATATTTTTTATCTGTATATATTCCTTTCTTGCTTATGTAACATGTATAATAATTTCAACTACTTGAAATCTCATACACAAATCTTCATGCAAGTTTCCCCTAGTGCAGATATACTTCTTTGTATGTGAAAGTAAAGGACAATTTAAATAAAGCAATTTAACGATTTAAATCGCGATATATATTAGTTAAACTTATTTGAAAATTATGTATTTTAACTACGGCACCGACGTATGGGATGCTTTGTAGCAGCCGTGGCCACGGGGATTTTCAAATAAGTTTAACTAATATATATCGCGTTAAAGCGTAAAAAAAACTGCTTTATTTAAATGTGTACTGCTCGCGTAAACTACATGCAGTATTTAAAGAAGGAAAATGCAATATGAAACTTAATACGAAATATATCGGGCAGTAATATCGTGCGTATTTCAAGACAGGTTATGCCCACTAGCAGGTGTATGAGTGGCGTGCTGTCAGTTAATGCATCAATGCCCCATTGTGCCGTATACGGCGTTGGCGGTATCAGCTACGAATAATTAACCAGTTTTATTCCATAGAAGAGCAACTTTCGCTGTGCCGTGTAAAAAACCTGCAAACCATTGATACTTAACCGTCTTTTCTACGTGGTTTATAACGTAAAATTTCGACAATATATTGTCTTATTAAAGTACAAAGTTTTTAAATGAAAATGTACATAAAACAAGTAATGAGCGCAATTTCGTATAGTCAGTTAGTCAGCTACTAGTATAACTGTAGTTAGCTATACTACCAATATGTTATATATACACCAATAGTATTAATTTAGTATGTAAAACGTCTAATGTTTTTAACTCAAATGCACAAAAGATTTAAAATCTCGTATAAAAAGAAAGCTTTAAAAAGTTTGATTCCATAAAGAACACACATGACATTATTTTTGACTCGTTGGCCCAACATGTATCTAATCATTTTTTTTTTAATACCTTGCACTTCGTCTATAAATCTGGATATTAATTGGGTGTTAGGAATATCGAAAAATTCGTCCGGGTGACTAACCTACCCTACTAAAATACTGATCATAGGCCAAAAAGCCTTAATGTGGATTTCCGAATATCCAAAACCAAAATAGGTCGCAGTGCATCTCATAGATGTTTTATAGCTATGGGATTTTACCTTCTAGCAAGAGAAGGCCATGCTTTTCTGTCTATTATAAAAACGTTTGATACAAGAAAGCGAGCTATCCTTGGTAAGGACGTGGAGTGATTCAGACGCGGTTACTCCCATCGGCTATTAGGTTGCGCAGACAGATTGCGCGGGAACGAGGGAACAGGTAGTGGGTATTCAATAATGAAATACTATTGGAAATGACATTTCATTACTCATTTATTCGCATAGTAACTGCTCTAACGCTATGAGAACGAATATTAACGCACACGGGACAATATTTAAGTGTCCAGGCTTATCATATTTGAAAGGGAAATTCGTTATAAGAAAGTCTTATTGATAGGAAATCATAATATATTAAATTGTGTAAGGATTTCACGGCCATCGTTCAGCATATCATTGTTTTTCGGGCTATTCGGTCGATGTGAGCGAGAAGAGGTTCTCGAAGCCCGAAAAACAATGATATGTATAATATATTAACTTGAGAATTTAAGATGACTAAGAATATTTATTACTAAATATTTAATTATAAATATAATTTAGTTTCGTTTCGTGCTCTAATAAAAAATAATATATGCTTATAACTTGGTATAAAATATGCTTTTAACTTGGCAGGCTGGTGGCAGTGCGTTGGAGGCGCGCAAGAGTAACCTGGTAAAAAAGACGGCTCATCTCAGTGTCGCGCACGATGAATGAATTGGACAGCTTACGTCAGGAGGCGGAAACCCTCAAAAATGCGATACGAGTAAGATTAAACTTGCAATTAGAACCGGATATTTAAAGTAGAATTAGAATTACATTTTTTATATGTGGGGCAGTTTCATCACTGTTCATAAGCCTCATGTGTTTCAAGAAAATCATTTGTGACTTATTGTTTTGCCTGGATTCGAACCCAGAAAGTTAAAAGCAACATTATCTACAACTTATAATACCCCCTATTATTGCAAATTAAATGTGTTTAATTCAAAAATGTCATATATATTATAAGCGGAAGAACATTCTTTTTAGATAATAAAGTGTGCAACAGTTGAGTTTTCCGATAGTCTAAACAAGTAGTTATTATATTCTACAGTGTTGGACGAAGGCCGAAATGTTCACGAAAAAAACCGTACAATAGATATATTCGTGAACAAGTTTACGTTGGGTTTATCTGTAGTATTGATTTATAGCTATATTTATTGCAAGCGCGTTCATGAGAGCGTTAAAACTGAAGTATTTTGAGTATACGTAGTTTATTAACCCAAATGCTGTGGATGTTACTGGACTTGCATAGAAACCCAAACATAAAAGAGTTATTACTTGTTCTCGAATAATTTATTTTATTAGTGTGTAATGTTGTTGTTAATAATTTGTATCTTTGTCGAATTCAGGATGCTCGCAAAGCCGCGTGCGACACTTCGCTTGCGCAGGCGACGGCCAACTTGGAGCCAATTGGCCGAATTCAAATGCGCACGCGCAGAACGCTGCGCGGACATCTCGCGAAGATTTATGCGATGCACTGGGGTAGTGACTCTAGGTGAGGTCCCTTTTGTTTAATAATCGAACTCGAGGAGAATATAAAAAACGGGTAAAGGCACTCGCGGTTAAGGTCGATATCTGAAACAACAGGAAAACGTATTCCCTTTGGAAGATTTCCATAACCATTAGCCGCTATGTGTATATAAAACATCAATTCGTCGAACAATAATAATGTACTCGTAAAATGTTATTATTCCAGTGAAAGACTCGCAAAAATACTCCAATAATAATGATAGGCATTTATCCTGTTCTTAAAGTTGTTTGTCCACTATTGTGTATTGATATGATTGTTAAACCTTATTATTTTTATAAATGAAAAAAAATCACATAAAAACAACCGTCTGCGGATTTATATAACCGCAATGATTTAAATAAAACACTTAACGGTTTCAAACGAAATCTATTAAAATATCATTTCAAGTACATATATTATTATTATTCTGTTGTTTGAAAATAAAATAAATATCCATAAGTTTCGATTACAAAAGTTATTTTACGTTTTTCATTGTGGACAACAGTAACATGTGATATACAGTTAGAAACTGTTGCAACACACAATTTTTTTATACAAACTCATTGCAACACCACATTACGTTTTCCCATACCATTTTATGTTACAGCGCAGCATAAAATCAACTCCGCTAAAATCCTAAAATAATTCATGACTTACGGCACAGTTTCTGTGAAGTGCGAACGTGACGTATTATTTGATTACGTGTATTATTGTTTTCGCTGAAATTATATTCATATCGTACGCCATTGTAGACTTATCGATGCATTTATTAAAATGAAAACATTTGCTTGCATGTTCAATTAATTGATTTTTTATCAATACGTAAATATTGAGATTAGCAGTGTTTGTTTACTTATCATTGTGAAGGTGTGTGCCTATGAAAAATGAAAAAATATGTCTCGATAGGAAATATATTTTGTTTCCAAAACTTAAATTGATAATTTAAAAACAACTGAACCCCTTCGAATAGTATGACTAGTGTATTTTTTCTTTATTATAGAAGATACACACAAGCAAGAGTTTCATTTCACTTGATAGGTGAAGTAACCCAGTATAAAATAGCTTTGGATATTCGGAAATCCACATACTGAAACCGAAACGCGATTAAACCTCAGGCGGTTTGTCATTTCTTGACTGCGGTTTGGAATTCCGATATTCTTACCACTCATTTAATATCCAGACGTCCAAACGAAGTCCAACATGTTTCCGAACAATTATAAATTGATTAAAACCATGTTAATACAACACCACGATACGTCGATTAATAGTCATACTTTGCTACCATTACACCAACTAGCTCATCAATCTATATGCGTAGCTGAGTTTACACCTTTTAAAAATCATGACATATTTCTACAGAAATAAAACTGTCAAATAATTATGAATAATAATAACAACACAATCATTGTATTACAGGAACTTAGTATCGGCCAGCCAGGACGGAAAACTCATTGTTTGGGACAGCCACACCACGAATAAGGTGCACGCGATACCGCTGCGCTCTTCGTGGGTTATGACGTGCGCGTACGCACCTTCCGGATCGTACGTCGCTTGCGGTGGTCTAGATAACATCTGCTCCATTTATAGGTGGGTACAATGTTAGGAAATATTGGTCTGTTCGTGTAAACTTCTTTATTGCACATATGCTATTTTTGTCAGTCTGTAAATATAAGAAATCTGTGAAAGAAACCAGGGATATCCAGATATAATTGAGGCCTATAAAATCAAAGGCAGCGAAACGCCATAACATCGTAAAATAGTTAACTATCACACTTTAGCATATTGATTTTCCTAACAAATGCAGAAAAATCCCTATAAAATCTGGATCAAAAATCGATACTGACATCGAAGCCAGCTACATGCCAACCAGTAAGAATCAAAATTAAAATAATAATAATAATTAATGAAAATTCAGATTATTCACACTCCTTATAAATCTGTCTCAAAATTAATATGGGAGTTTCCTGAACGAAGTTATCGATTTTTGTAGATTATATGACAAACTTGGATTTAGCCGCCTTTGATTTTATAGGCCTCAGAGGTCCTCTTAAGTTTTCCATTTTTCATTTTACTTGACAATTGACATATAAATGTGCCCAAGTTCATGAATATCAATTTCCTTTCTGACACAATTTGTGCGGTTTGCACACTAGGAAAAAAACTTTAGCTCAATTGCCAAGACCGAATACTGAAAGTCTTACCAGATTAACAGGTTTTGAGGCAGCTTTCAGTATCCACACACACACTAAATAACGATTATGGGGTTTCAGATAAACATTCATACAATTTAATATCTTTCGGAGTTAATGCCACGCTATTTTCCAGTAGAATGAGGTTTCTGCCTTCGGCCACCACAGCACCCGTTTGGCTGGAAGATTCCGCATCGATCCTAGCGATGTAACACAAAGTTTCCTCCGCTTAACGCTAGATGGCATTAGTAGTGCCTAAACACAATTCAATGTTTTAATTGCAGCCTGAAGACACGCGAAGGAAACGTGCGCGTTTCACGTGAACTGCCCGGTCATTCTGGTTACCTGTCTTGCTGTCGCTTCCTCGATGACAACCAGATTCTGACCAGCTCTGGAGATATGACCTGGTCAGTACATTCTATCGCCAATATTTTAAAAAGTACTATAATAATTAAATACACTACTAAAAGTATAAAAAACGGGATTTCCATTGTTCTAGTGGAGCGTGGGGCGAATATATTCATGTGTCCGTTTCACTGATTGGTTTTCATTACAGACAACTTGATAAACCTCTGTTCCCTGCTTCACTTAAACAATTAAATTTTTCCCTTAAGGACCTTATCGTTATGCTAGTCACGTTTTACCATTTAGCTACAGTCGTTATATACCTACTATTTAAAAAGTTTAGTTGAATGTGAACTGTCTAACAAACAAACAGTTTTGCTAAAACTGGCTTTGTATCATAATTGAGGTAAAACTTTTGCTTTTACTAAATTACTTTACTTTGTTACATCAAAGCGAAATACATGGAGTATGGAGTTTTGTCAGGCTCAACACAGACAGTTGTGTTTTTCTAAAAAATTTGAAGAGAAATAATCTTTGAATACTCATTAATCATTACAATTGTCGCAAAAGAACTTAACAATCAATTGGAACTTGCAGCGCCCTCTGGGATATCGAGACCGGTCAGCAGTGCGGACAATTTACTGGTCACACAGGTGACGTCATGTCCCTGTCTCTGGCGCCGGACCAACGGACATTCGTGTCGGGCGCATGCGACGCATCCGCCAAGCTCTGGGACATCCGCGACTGCCAGTGCAAGCAGACCTTCCCGGGACACGAGAGTGACATTAACGCTGTTACTGTGAGTCACAATACATTTAATATATTCGCTGTTTGCAAGATACATATCACATAAAGATACATGTTGATCCAACTCTAACGAATAATTTGTAATAGTGTATTAATTACGATCAAATTTGATAATAAAAACGCTTCTTACGAGTTCATCTTAAAAGGTATACTGTCGCGTTTATGTTTTTAGATCATTTAATGAGAAATTATTTTTACTACAAATGTTTTGGTTTCTTGAACCGTTTTGCAGCGCAAGCAACGGTAGAGCTCAAAAATGTTTCCCGTTTTTCAGCATTCGAACCAGTTTCTAAGATTAGCGCGTTCAAACTCTTCAGCTTTATAATATTTGTATAGATAATAAAAGTGATACATCCTTAATACTATTATAATAATCAAGGTCAAAATATTAATAGTTACAATATTCCTACATAAAAAATAGTTACAGTATAAAACTGAGGTTATCCAATTGTTGTTAGTGGATGGATTGTAATAAAGAAATATTATTTGGAACGAATATCCAAAGCCAGAACAGGTCGACGGCACATCTTGTTTAAATGTCATTGGCCGGGGTAATTCACCTACCATCATGCTTGTCTGTCTTCCTCTATCATAAAAGAGGACACAATGACAATAGTTCTGTGCATTAACAAAAAAAATACGCTTCAAAACTTTAATATTGCGCACGCGCACGATGACATTATGTAAATTTAAAATCTATTTAGGTTGACGCAAGCACAATTAGTTGAGCAACAGCACGGAACACTGTGCCGGTGCAAGCCCCGCCTATGTTATATTTTTTTTTATTTAAAAATAAAGGTTAATAATATTTATGTAACGTTTATGCAAGTGTTAAAGTTGAAGTGTTAGTTGCGTGAGAGGGGCATGTATGAAAAAATTCAACGACGTGTTGGACTCTGTAGCTCGATTAGTTAGAGCAACAGCACGGAACAGTGTGGATGCAGAAGTTCTGCCTGTGTCGTAAAATCCTTTCAATCTAAAATTGATTTTAGTTTACATGTGGAAAATATTTAAGTTTTCAATATTCATCTGATTAAATGTCTTCCTTTCAGTTCTTCCCGTCTGGCTTTGCATTCGCGACGGGCTCCGACGACGCGACGTGCCGCATGTTCGATATCCGCGCGGACCAAGAGCTCGCTATGTACTCGCACGACAACATAATTTGCGGCATCACTTCCGTCGCTTTCTCGAAGTCGGGTCGGCTGTTGCTCGCCGGATACGACGACTTCAACTGCAACGTCTGGGACTCGATGAAGAGCGAACGTGCCGGTAAGCCTTTTTAATCCTATTGTCACATACAATATGAGAGGTGAGGGACCATACGCATTAATCGGTTTGTCGTTCGGCTAACAGCACCGTCAGCATCGTCTCGTTCATATTTTTATTTACGGTATAAAGCATGATGCATATGTGTCCTAAGAGGTTATTCTCCCCCTCTAGTTTTAGATAGGCGATAGATATAAAACACAGATGTTGTAATTTATATCCAAAACTATTTTTTTTTAGCTATGTTTTGTAATCATGGTAGTATGTGACAACAGATGTTCTGAATCGACCATTGAATTTGAGTTTATTATCTGTCTGTGTATTTTTAATGCAAGTCTAAATCTGCTTAATGTCACGTAAGAAGTTTAAATGAACGTGTTTTTGATATATATCACTCTTTTTAAACAAGTAATAACGTAACTGGTTGTCTACAGGTATCCTAGCCGGTCACGACAACCGCGTGTCCTGTCTTGGCGTGACCGAGAACGGAATGGCCGTCGCCACCGGTTCCTGGGACTCGTTCCTGCGCATCTGGAACTAAGCCATCCCAGTCCTACCCTCTCCCCTTTTCACTCCAAAACTCATCTAAACACTCCCTTAGTGATACTCGAGGTGCCGTTAGACCGACCGAGCATTGATCGTAATACTAAAACTTCAGCGAACGAAATTTAAAGTCCATTTTGCTTCAATACTCTTATAATCTTACAAAATAAGGAGAAGACTTATTTTTTTCTTTAAAACCAATATTCTCAAAGTTTAACTTGCTAACTTAAATTTTGAAATATTTAACCGAACTTGTTTGCTATAAACAAATGTCCAATGCTCGTTCGTCTAAATACACCTCCGCGCGCCCCGTATTAACGAAACGCGACTAAACTATTCGAACAGATAAACGTGTATTTCACTTACAACAAGATGGCCGCCAATTCAAAATGGCGCCCTCAAGAAAAGTTGAACAATCGAAACCCGTTGCATAATTTTTGTCAAAAAATCTTTGTTTTAAATTCTTGATTTGAACGGGTTAAACAAGCCATAATCGCGAGTGCGTTTCCATCGAAGGGGTGCGTGAGTACAACATAACCCTGCGGACGCTGTAAAAAGACAGGGACAAAACGCACTGCTTTATTTATTTTGTATACATAGATGATAATCTCTTAACAAAATGGAAGCATTTAACTACTGGTGGGTAGTGATGAGTATGTTTGCACTGTTTATGATAAACTATTTATATGTAATGTAATGATATATTATTAGCGTAGCCTTTTGGAGCCAGTCTGAAGACGGCGAACGCTGTGGCTTTATTTTTCTGTGACTTGGTGAGTTTTTTTGAGATTACAATTAAAAGTTGTCTACATTGCTTTGACGTTAGTATCCAAAATGAATTCGTTTAAAGATTGTAAAAGCCTTCTGCGAACATCTTCTAGCACCTTTCTGTATGTTTGGGCTGTTAGGCCGGTGTTCAGTCGATATGAAGATGTCATGGCTTGAAGAACGTTTTCTCAAAGTTGCCGGCCTAACAGCCCAAGAAACAAAAGATGAACTCAACAAGACGATTAATAAAAGGTTCTCTTTATTTCAGATATAATTTCACCGCACAACATTACCCTAAAATGTTAATTGTAATTGAAAGAGTAATCCTAAAGAACCAAATATTAATTATTAATGTAACGTTTTATAATTTATTGAGAATGTCTCTTGTTTAATCGTTTCTGATTCTAATTGTAATAGAACTGTGCTTATCTATGATTTTGTCGTATCGTACTTCTTAGGTAAGGCATGTGGTGTTCTGTACGAGGTGACTTGTGACGAAGCAATTTGTTCGCGAAACTACTTGTCTGATGAAAATCACGACATCTAGATTAAAAAGCTAGAACTTCATCCTGGTTTTTAATCTAGACAGACATCCCCATCGAACCAATTGAATCGTCCCGAACTGCGTAATTTTGAGATTGTCATATAAAAGATCTCCACAAGTAAAGTATATACAATTTTTAATTTATTGTAACACGGTGTAAAAATAATTCTTATTGTTACCTGATTGGCTTCTGTCACAAACTTATCAGAACTGAAAGATTTCCCATATAGCTGGTTTCTATAAGTTGTCGAATGATTTCCGAACTCCTTGGTATCGAAGAGTTTTTGCGTTTAAGTACATGTTACCGAAGTACTTATAATGCGCAAGATTCATGTAACATCGTGTACAATCACGTATTGTCTGTAGTTTACGCCAGGAGTACATGTTTAAATAAACAAATTTGACTGGTTTAATACGCGAAATATACCAACTAGTTCGCCAGTGACTACAAAGCACCCGAAACTTGTAGTAAATCATAAGATAACTAATTTTTCGCGTTTCGAACCGTCAATAGTGATTTATTCAATCGTGTACAATCGTCAACGCTTGAGCGGGACAGTCGCACTAACATCGCACGTCCCTATGTTCATTTTCCTAGATTAAGCTACTTTTAGGAAATAAGGGTTTAAAATAAGGCATTTGTAACTTCGACATTCTGTGTTGCTATTTATTGTAAAACAGTTCACTCATTACTCCGTTGTGATTCACAGTTCGACGAGTAATGTAACCTTTTTTGTCGCAGTATTTTTTTTTAATTAAGCACAGAGGTTTTATTGACGGCTTTTTGTTTCGTCGATGGATGGTTGTCGCTATTGTTTTTTTTAACTTAAGCCTTCGTCTTAGATAGGTTACAATATAATATGTAGGTGTTTATATTTAAGGCAGACGCGATAAGATGATCCTCAATGACTTTTGAACTCTGTTTACTTGCTTTTATATTGGAAACGGCACAAAAGCTGACGCGGTAGAATCTCACTAAGCAGGTGCTGGGTTGTATAGAAACAATCGTAACATGTAAATAATACAAAAAAGCATTTAAGAAAGATAATGCAGTTTATTTGGCGGTAACAATGTACGTACAGACTATGGATGAACCACTAAACAACAAGCAACTTAATATAGCTGGGGGGAGGAAAGGGGAGGGGGGGTTGGCGGCGTTTTGATTGAAGTACTGAACAGTGAGATTCTACTGTACTTACATATAGTTTTAAAACTCATGCTCAATACCATCGTTCGCACAAATCAACGCATAAACTCGAACTGAACGCAAACAGTAGTGATTTTCTATCTTTTACATTCGCAGTTTTTGTATTATACGGGCATATCACTAATATTCGGGATACCCACGCACAAGATTAGTTCTCGGGCCCGACCCGTTCGTCATTGAGCAAATACACCACGCATCTACCCGTAAGAGTGTTTCGCATTGTGTGCGCTTTATCTGTCCGGAGCTGGAGGACCAGGCAACCGGTGGACTGGCGAGGCCACAGGGCAGAAGAGCGATTGGCAAATGTAAGCTATGGTCTGCTAGATGTACGCCTAGGATGTAAGACTTTTTTAAAAGTAAACGTTCTTTTCTACTGGCTTCTTTTCAGATCGTTGTACTATAACATACGGTTCGCATTATGTATAATATATTATAATTAATATGGTATAGTTAACGATGGCTCCACTTTGGTTTTATATTTTGTATTCAGACCAACTTTCTCACTTTTACATGGACTGCCATTATATATTTACCTGTAACTGTAACTTATTGTAATCCTTGCGTACGGAGGAACGGAAGTCGCAATAGTTAACACGAGTAGAGTTTTCATCGAGTACCATTAAAGTTAAGCCGGTGTCACACTGGTCGAGTTTAACCTAATGCAGAAAGTATGACAGTCGTCTGGGTTTTGTCTCATTCATCATCGATTAATATTCCGAAAGTTTTGTAATGTGTGTCCTCGTCACCTGATAAGGAATTACTTCAATATGATTGGGTGTCTCCTTCGGAAAAATCAAACACTATGAAATAAAGAATTTGTATAAGTTAACTTTTATTTGCTAGTCCACATCTTTGATATGTTTAAATAATTATTCTTAGTGGTGTAATACTAATTATAATGTATTGTGTAAAATATTTTTTTTAGTTATTATTATCAATAAATTAAAATTTGTTTATTTTAGTGTCTGTTTTATTTCGTTTTCGTTACTCTGCCCTTTTTAGAGATTCATGGGTCATAAACCTTATATGTTTTGTTACTTAGAAACTTAACTAAATGGTTAAACATGTTGCCTAACATTGTGTTAAGCGTGGGAGGTCCTGGGCAAACAATAGGTTTCGGTTGGGTAGGGCATAGGAATCTGATCAACTACTTGCCTGTAAAAAAAACTTATCAGTAAAACAGACATAGATATGTATTCGCGCCTTGCGATAAAAATTATACTGTCAAGCATAGGTTTAAACATGTCGCATTCTTTATGAAACTATTGTTAAATGACTTGTTTGATGACTAACCACTTATTCGTGTTTCCTGGGACTTTAGAGGTGATCAGCAGCATGAGGTAAATCAATTAGTGTTTTAGCAATGGAGCCTAGGTTCGATTTTTTCTATTTATTTTTGTTCGTACTACCACCTAATGTGTAGTGAAAGTCACAAATTGTTCTCGAAAGTCGGTTAAACGGATTTCCTTAAAATAACACCAGTATAACCTTAAAACAATATCCTTTTAAGAAGGCACTAATTAGTGATTGTCAAGGCCAAGCATTGTGTGCTTAAAAGAAAGTAGATGAGTCAAGACTTGGAGGGCAATTCGCAGCATAAAAGTTTTACGTCGACTTTTCAAACTTGAATTAGCGACTTTACTCGGCGTAGATACGATGTCGCTTGATTGAGAATTGACGCCATGTAAGGAGGTGAGTATGTCACTCGGTTGCTTCCGTACATGAGATTTCATTTCATGAATACTAAGTACATAACATGTTTGGGGGTAGAATGAAAGTAGATTATAATTACAGAACAATAAAGAAGTTCGAATAGATCCTTTTTTTTTCGCAGTGACCATTTTTTTGATGAGAAACAAAGCATGCAAACAAACAAAATGCGCTGTCGATCTATTTTTGCTTAGGTATTCGGAAATCTACAACTTTTTAATCTGTGGACTTGAAACGGTATTAACCTTTACGACCTCCTGGTCGTAAAGGTTAATCCCGTTATATATCCCGTATAAATTCTTACCACCCATTATAGATATAGATTTCGACGTATTTCAACATGTTTCAGAAATTTAAATAGAACACTTTAACGGTTTAAAACGCGATATATTAGTTAAACTTATTTGAAAATGATTTTTAACTTCGGCCCGACGTTTCGGATGCTTTGCAGCAGGTGTGGTCATAATTTTAACTAATATATCGCGTTTTAAACCGTTAAAGTGTTTTATTTAAATGTGTACTACTCGCGTAAACTATAGACAGTATGTTTCAGAAAAATTATATGATTAGAAAAATGTCAGACACGTCGGGGATCGAAATTCCGAGCCGTTGATTATTATTATTATTAGCCCGTATTACTAAGCCATTTATGACAATGATTTATTTGTTTTACTTAAACTACCCACTTAACCACGCGTTTTAGTAGAAGCCATTAATTATCAAGAACGGGTGTTAAGTTCGATTAAACCAATATATATGAGTTTAATGTTGGTTTGGAAATCTGAATTTAAATGGTTAGGAAAATTCACAAACTACCGTCCACTGATAAAAAGCCGTGAAGTTTAATCGCGTTCAGTCTGTTTATTTCCAATATCACCTACCGTCAAGTGAATCCTCATGCTTCTCAGTCCTCTATTATAAAATAAACCAATTTGATTTACACTTAAATGTTAAGATAACGCAAATTTTGCATTCTCGAACTTGTTTGCAACCCGAATTTAATTTGCATCATTAATGCTTTTCATTAGACAGTTTAAACTAGAATCTAGTTCCATTATTTCGCAAACAACATCGTATTTCGCGAGTTTGGCCGTTTGCCTGAAACCATTTCAAATTCTAGGTTCTTCATTCTAAGCACAAAGAGTTAAAATTCTGATGAATTAGACTTAATTAAACGTAATACCTTATATACATAACAAATACGGCCTTTGTAGCTTAATAGTTAACCTTGTTCTCTAGCATTACGTCTAACAAGAGATTCGAATCCCGGGGAAATAATGAATTGTTTCGGTCGGGCAGGACTTTCTGAGTCCGTCTGATTAACTTTGCTTAAAAAAACAATCAAAACGGACACAGGTGTGTTCGCCTCATGTCCGAACATGTAATAGTTTTTACTACGTAAGTATTATAAATTAATTATGGCTTTCTCGAAAATATATACTTTTTATGTTAGAGGAAGACAGACAAGCTTGTAGTTTACTATGCGAGGTGAAGTACCCTAGTCATATGCTCGTTAGTCCGATGCACTGTCGACCTATATTGGCTTTGGATATTCGGAATACATTTCCTATTGGCTGAAGCATTTTAGCCAACCGAAAAACGGCGAAAAATAAAATGTGATAAGTACATGTGCAATGTTTAAATCTATCCAATTAAACAATGTTTACAGCTGTAAGGTTTTCAGCGAATTCGTAAATGTGAATAGTGATAGAACAGTTGGTGGTAGCGCGATGGCGAAACAGCGAAACAGGCGGGCGGAGTCGAGTACAAATTTAGAAGCTGGCAACTGATCGCTGATGGGAAGACCATGGTTTCAGAGGAACTTCGACTCGCAAGTCACTATACGGATCCTTGTAATGTAAATGTGACTTCATTTAGCGCGGTCTTTCTCCTAATACTATTGGGATGAAGTATAAAACTAAATATTTTATTAAATTAATACATAGTAAATATATAATTTTAATAGTCCATTTCTAAATTAAAAAATAAATGAGAGGCAACTTGAACCGGCATCTACAGCGTTGCTCAAACCAATTGACCTACCGTGTCCTCCACGTTAACATGAATTTCTTTCAGCTCATTAATACATGCAACTCCCACGGAATATATTAAGGAAAGGTTAAAATTTATAAATTAATCATAGGTACGTGTATACTAAATTGTTTTCCCAAAAGTTATAAATGTAAACATGTTTTGATGCCTAACTGATATCTAGGCATTAAGACACAATAAGGTATGCTGAATGAAATCTTTTTTCAGTTTAGGTAATATTTAGGTAGTTATAAATAGTATTCATGCATATTCAACATTACATCATGTAGCCCATTCTTCCCTTCTCTTCTGAAATCTCCGGAAAACCCCGCAAAACATAGTCCCCCTACACCATACGGAGCTTTTCTGCGCATTATGCAATGCGGTGACTTATTTTAGTTAGTCAGAAAACTTCTCGCGTCAACTACACATCGGTCTTATTGTACAGTGTTGTTTTTTGTTGTGTTTGTTTGTGCCGCGTGGGATTTGTCCTCTATGCCCCTGTTAATCTGACGAAAAATTTTCATATATTATGTTGTAAAGGCGGGATAACGTACGTATTATTTTGTGTTTAAAATATTTTTATAAATAAATATTGTTTAGTTCACGTGACTTGGAAAGTAAGAAGTATAGTAGTAATAATGCGTTAAAAATAAAGAAAGTAGGTACCATAATATAAGATAGAAGAGGGGATTTATTTGAAATTGTAGTGAAATTAAATTAGATCTTAATAATATTACAATAAAAATAGATTAAGATACATATTATTTTTAACTTAGATCAATATTACTTCAATTTCTTTAGATAGAGTTCTAATATATACTTTGTTTTGTGGATTACTCGTAAATTTAGACTTAATTAGACTGAGTTTAAAGAAAAGATCTAGAATATTACACACGCCAATAAAACTGTTGTTACAGTGAATTTTGCTTTCGTAAACAGAGCACATGAAATAATTTGCCTGGCAACGGTTTTGTGCTATTTCCGAACGAAATAAGCCATGTTATTCTAGACCTTACGTGTATCGACTTAAAGAATACATTTCTTGACACAAAAATGTGCCTCGAATCTTAAGTAGTGGGTAATAAGTATGTAAGTGATCTAAATTTTTCAATCTTTCATAGTCTAAACACGTTTGTTCGAGAATTACTTCTAACCTAATGGGCATAGGGCTTACATTAGCTTAAATTATTGTTTTTGGCACGTTTACATAAAAATAATTACTCATATAATCAAAGGATTCTGGTCTCATATTGACGTCAGATTACATTGTAGTGCGCAAGTTGAACATCAGTTATTAAAATACAAAACCGACAAAAACTGTTTATATCTAACAGAGTGACTAAAAAAAGTGAAAATGATGACTATTAGTGAAAGTCAGTTTTCTTCCAACAAAATGTCGAGTATCCACAAAATCAACGACCGAGTTGTCCACAAAGATGCCTTCGACGACGTCAAAAGCTCGTCCAGCGTTAACAGCACTCTGGTCACGAAGCGTGGATTTAAGCCGTCAGACATGTTCGATCCTCAAAAGAAGGAATTCCTTACGAATCTCAGTTATAAGTTGTTCCCTGTAAGTTGGGTAAGTTTATTTAATTCAATTAGTTTTAAGCTTCTAACGAGGTGTGTCGCAAGGAGGTGCATTGGGCCACTTATTGTATGTATTATAGTATATCGCTGAACTATATGATTTTATATATATTTAATAATATCTTTATGTATTGTATCGTATGTTTTGATGTAGTATTATTATATTTAATTGAGGTAATATAGGTATAGGATAGTCTAAATGCACGACCGGAAAACAAAATTAAAGATGTTCTGGTTAATAATAATTTATGAATGAAAGTCGTAACGAAATATGCGGAATTTTGTTTGATAGACTACAATTCAAAGGAAATAATTTCTTCAACGAAGCTATTGGTCTTATTTATTAGTGAATTGATTCCGTTCCTATTGCAGCCGCTCCTGGCTCTTCTCCAGATCTAGTGAAAATAGAAGTCAAACCTTGACGCGTAGACAATAGTAGATAGCCATTACAATCAAACTGAAGTGAATACAAAATCGTTAACGAAAGTTGGATTTGTTTTAAATCTATTTTTTTATAAGATAGACTAGAAGATTAGAAGAAGTTCACTTAATGGGGTGAACCCCATTAAGAGAACTTAATGGTAGGTTCATAAAACGAAATCAAGATTCGCCGAAATCCACAGACTGAAATCGAAACGCGAGTAAACTTTGGAGCTATTTCATCTGTGGACGGTTGGTCACCCGTACGGAATTTGATATTCCTACCACCAACTTAATATCCGGATTACCAGGCCAATTATAACATGAAAAATGTTGAACAAACAGATGATTCTCGAAGCAGCATTTGAATACAATCGTGGGCATGTTATATTTTAGTAGGCAATAAATATATTAGATGAGTGCTGTTATTGATTAAAAATATAACTGATTAACGTATATAAACCTTGGCAAGGCTTCAAGCTACTACAGGTGTAATCGTAGGTCATGTCAATTCTTATGTCTAGCTCTAGGGCATCTAGACGTTTCAAAACTTTACCCCAGTCTGTTCCCTAAAATGGGTTACCACTGTTAAACCTTTCAAAGAGTTTTTTGTTTTAAAGCTAGTAAACTACCGTTAACGACAATGGTCCAGAGTTCAAACCAGGGAAAAATATAATAGTTTCGATATGTAGGTCGCAACATTACATCGGTAAAAAAGACTTAGGCACAGGATTAAACTGTGACAAAAATATCATAATTTTCCATAAATTACAACAAATCTTTTAAAATAATGTATAGCTACAACATCAATGCAATCTATTGTGAATACTGTAAAAAAATCGTCCTATAATTTTAATGACAAAACAATTACATACAGATAAAAACTAATCAAACCAATTATTTTTAATTATGACTTCACATGGCCTACGCTGAAAGTCTTGTATTTTTATTAATTGTACATACAATATATCTATCTATATTTGCTAGTTTACCATAGTATATGTAGTACCATAGATAATGGTAATTCTATATTCTGATATAAATAAAATTAAATCAAAGTAGACATCAATAAAATACAATTGTTTAAATAATAAGTAAGACTTCAACACAAAAGTTTCTAATCTCGATACATATTTTAAAAACATAGACTATAATTTTATATTACATAATTTAAGAGCGTCAAATGTAGCCTATATGTCATGACCAACACAGCTGAGCAGCAATTAATTTAAAATATTACAGCAAAGTGCAACTGAATATATCACTTTGCGCTCCATCAGACCACCTGTTTTATTTACATGTCATTAAACTATAACCGCTGTACCGGGCGGACATCGAACCCGAGTAACCGCCAACGCTAACACGGTTAAAAATAATCGCATAGCTTTCAAAAAGTTCAAACACAATGACCCCGCTTTAAGAGCGCGAGTACATTGTTCTGTTCGATGTAGATAGCTTGTAATTTAATTAACAATGTTTTTGAAACACTGAAACGACCCAGATTTACTCCGAAATTCAAACCCAGGACTTCTTGCGCTTACCCTATTATAGGCCATAAGTATAAACATTGGGTCTAGACATGACTATAATAAATAGATATATTAAGGTAAGAAGCTTTATAATTCTTAGTGTAGAGCCAGTGAAATAAAAATATTTATTTTTTCTTTGTAAAACAATATCTTTTCGGTAATTTTTGATTATTAGCATATTTTCAATTGAACATGTGACGAAAATTATTGGTATGTATGTATACAAATTGTATAAAGCTGAAAAGTTTGTTTGAACCCGCAAATCTCAGGAACTACTGGTTTGAATTGAAAACAATCTTATCGTATTTTGGAACATTTATCAAGATAAACAGCAGGCTGCAACCAATAGATGAAAAAACATGGAAAGTCCTTCTTTGATTGCTTCCATATTCTTCTTTAAATATCTAAAAAAAATCTCCGCGACAATATATTACGTCTTTTAAGATCATCGAGAAACGTTTATTGAAATCATGTTTGGTTGAAATAAATCATATTATTGCAAAAGAACGCTTGCCAGGTCAGCTCGTTATTTTAAATAAAAAACATCTTCATCTTGCGCAGTCGGGTAAAGTGATTTCTCTCATGGATCATTCAACAAACGTAGACGGTCCGCCCTCATTTCAAAGTGTTAGTAAGGGCTGTTGAAGTTCTCGTAGTCATTTTGGCGGTTGTTGGGAAGACGCCAAGAATATCACTAAATACATAAATAATAGTGAACATGCCATAACAAATAAAACAGAACTATGGATATCTTACACTAGCTGATCAATTGATCAACAGCTGGACAAATGTTCTTTTGCCAAATGGAGTGTTTCGACGAAGTTTGACTATCACAAACACTGTTCTTGTAAGTCTTAAAAGATAGACATACATGCCGCAGCCATCTTTTTAGTTTACCTCAAGAAGAGTAATTCTTTAACATACAGTAGAACCCGTTTCAGACGATCACGCTTAATACGATTTCTCGCATAATACGCCACTTTACGCCAGTCCCTGCAACTTGAGACATTTTCATACATTTATTAACGCTTAATACGATTCGTCATCCCGTTTAAGACGCCCGAACGCCTGATAAAAACCTGAGATACTGCAGGGGTTTCCTGGAAAAATCAATTTATATCTTTTAGGCATGTAACACGTGAGAGTTCTGGAAATCTGGATATTGATTAGGTGGTTGGGATATCGAATATAACAAAGACCCAAAATGGGTCTACAACAGCATTATATTTAAATGTTACACGGCTGTGGTATATCACCTTCCATCGACTGAACCTCGCGTGTCCTTCTGTAGCATAAAAAAAACCATAAAACCTCTTATTTACTTATACAGAACGATGCTGAAACCCAGGATGTTGCTTCCATAGAGCTCCCAGAGGAACCTCTAGTAAGGCAAATAGAGTTAAAAACATCGTCATCATTTTGTAAATACCGTCATACTGAAAAGTTGCTAAAAGACAATGGTTTTTTATATCTCTTTCTATGCGTAAAACGATACAAATTACGTACCTGAACTATGCAATTTTAATATACTCTATCATATGCATGCGTTGGTGATGTAATTAAATAATAATTATTAGCTTCGACTTAATTCAGCTTTGAAATTTAAGATTGACTAACCTGTTTTTCTTTAACATTAGATATAGAACTAACAGCTTAATTGCGTACAAATCAAAAGTACCTTATCATAATGATTATTCTGAATATCAATAATCATATGTTATTTCTTTTAAATAAAACTATTTTAACGGTTCAATACGCCAAATATATTATTTATCTTATTTACAATGTATTTTAACTACGGGTCGACGTTTCGGACGCTTGACAGCTGCCATGGTCACGGGGGTTGGGAAATTGAGTTATCTAACATCGTATTTAAAACCGTTTTAAGTGTTTCATTTACATTTACTATTCGCGTAAACTATAGATGTAATATTGTCGCATATTAAATTGATCATTTTTTTACATTGCTAATCACTTTGTAAAATGTGTGTAAAATTATTCTATACATATAATAAAAATGTAGCCGATCGCTGTAGGCACTCGCGTGATATTATAAAAAATAGAATCGAAAACTCTAATTTATGGATTTTTGTCTGTGCGTTTGTGCAGGCAAATCTCAGAAACTGCTCGTCGATCTTCTAGTGGTTTTGCGTATTATACTGTTGTAAGCTCCACTGAATATTTAGCGTTAGGTTAAAGTCAAGTTTACAAAAAAAAAGTTATACCCAGCAAGTTGCTGGATGTTTGCTGTCATGCACATATTTTGGAGGCATTAGATTAAACTAACAAATTCTTATAGTCACTAATCCATGACCGAAGTCGAGGGCAAAACTAGTTAGGCAATATATTTATCATTTTAACTAAAAACCTCTTGATTTCATGAGTGAAGAATGCAGTATCCGCAATTTTGTGTAGATATTTTTCTATAAACAAAAGAAAATCACTAGTAAGTATCGTAATGTTGTAGTTCTATTTGTTAGCTTTTGGACTCCAGTTAACACTGCATGAGCTAACTATACGATTTGAAAATATATATATATATATATTTTTTATCTGACTTCTACTGAACAATCATATTTGAAACTGCAATTGATAACATCAAATTCCTATACCCTTTATTGACAAGGGACATTACATAACGAAAAACTTGCAATGTACATAACTAGACAATCACATAGTTTTATCTAGAAATTTAGCATAGTTACATATTTCATATAAAATCAATAATTTAACAGACATAGGTATTTAGGCGTTCATGAACGTGCTAAAATTCTCATACTTGTAAAATAATGTCTTTATGTAAAACGAAAATCTATTCACAGTTAGTTGGTAAGAGCACTGTACTCTGTGGTCGTGGGTTCGAGTCCCGTTCGTATCATATAGTGGTTTCAATGTAAATAGATTTTTCATTTATATAAATAGTAATATTTTAATAATTCATTTAGGGTGCAGATTAAATTTCTATGTTGCAATATTCCGTTTAAAAGATATTCCTAATCTAATATCGTCAGCATATTTTCAGGATGATTTGGACACCAAACCGATCATCGTAGGGAACAAGGAAGTGGACTTCAACAAGATATTCACACCGGCGCCGGATGCTGAGGAAAACATCATTAAAAAGGATCGAAAATTTGGTAAGTTTTCCCTAATGCCGTATAAAGATATTTATTTAACTATATAACAACACATACGAATGTAATCTTACAAATTGATTAGTTGTTTTATTGTATGAGGATACAACAGTAACTGAAAAATTGTTTGTTTGAATGCACTAATCTCAGGAACTACTAGTAGGAATTGGACAATACTTATTGTGTTGGTTAGAGCATTTTCGAAGAAGCTTAGACGAGCGAAGGCTAGAAGGAGAGTTAAGACGCAAGAACACGACTTAGTGCCAGACACGGGTCTTGACAACTAAGCTGCTGCCCACGACGTCAGTCGCGATTTATAAAGTAGAAGAGGAGTTAACTGTTCTAGAGAGAATTAATTAACACAGCACTCAATATAAAATTAATGTTAAGTTGGAATAATTGAATTACACAGACAACAAGAAACAGCAAGGAACGCCTAAGGGTTCAAGGTCCGCTCAAGTAATTTTTTTGAACAACCATAGATTAAAAATATGTAACAAATGTGCATTAACAAAATATGAATTATCGAATGTCATAAGTTACAATGGACCCAGCACGTACACAAGTGGAACCCAATAAATGTCGTTACAATGCAAGTAACCCCTTCGTTTGTACACACACTTGCGTTTATAATGTTGTTATGGATTTTGTAATTTTCAAAGATGTTAGGTTTAATCTGTCTCAATTCTACCTTTATTTTAAAAATCATTATATACAGGTCATACCATATAACAGACAGCCCGGCAGACTTGTTGGAGTTTTCAAGTGGTAATCTGTGGGTAGGCCCGCTACATGATGTCGTAATTCCTATTTTTATCATAATACGCATTCGTTTTTTCGGCTTATTTGCTCTCTCACTACAGAATACAGACTGTAGTAGACTGTTTTTATATTTTGTTATTAAGTTTTAATATTGTCTTGGTGAAATGGTAGTAATGCTAATAATTACGTGTCGTGGGTTCGAACCCCACATCCAACATTTTTCTAATCAAAGTATAATTTTCCTGAAACATGTTGGATTTCGTTTGGAAATCTGGATATTAAATGAGTGGTAGGAATATTAAAATTCCGTCCGCGTCACAAACCACAGATGAACAAGCTGCCAAGTTTAGACGTTTGAGTCCAGTCTGTGGATTTCCGAATATACAAAGCCAAACTAGGTCCACAGGGAAATCTTGTATAGACATTATATATAGCTGCGATATTTCGATAATAAACAATTATTGTCTGACCTAGTCTAGAGTAAAAAAGACAGATTAGTCTAGATATTATATCTCATAATCTATACTTACTAGTATATAAAGCTGAAGAGTTTGTTTGTTTGTTTGTGAACGCGCTAATTGCAGGAACTACGGGTTCGAATTGAAAAAAATATTTTTATGTTGGTTAGAACATTTATCGAGGAAGGCTATAGATTATAAATCTTCGCGCGGTGACTAATATAAGCGAAGATACAGTGGGAAATGTGAACAAAACGGGTTTCATCTCTGTGGGTTTCAGATGCTTGCGATGCGAAAACGGTTCAAGATACCTAAAGGAATGATTCCTTATTAAATGATCTAAAAAAAAGTCCGCGACGCTATATGTCTATCTTTTAAGATTGACTTGCAAGAATGACGGGAAGGGACGCAATCGATGTCGTGGCTAACAGCTTATAGAGATGACAGGGCTTGCAAAAACTAATTCGTTTGCCCAAAATAACGATTCTCGCGTACGAAGTTGCTGGCACAGCTAGTGTGACATATAAACATCTTGTGAAGGATCTAATGCTGTAAGTTGCTTCCTGAAAATACAATGGCGTCGTTCCAAACTAATAATCTGTTTTGTTGTTCATTTGTCATTAATTGTTTGATGCATTTTGGCAGACAGCCACCGCTATGTTTTAAGACCAGCCAGTGCTAATATTTCTAATGCTTGAGTCATTTATGTCTTCTGATTTAGATAACTTAAACGAACTTTCAATTCGCTGACACGCAAAACTTATTATTACTAAGTTTAAAACGTTTTGGATCCCGCACGCGGGTAGTTTAAAATAATTAATTAGAACATTAAACAAATTGACATTGAATTACGTCTTCCCACCGGGGGGCATGAGACAAATACTTCAGTGACCGTTTCACTGATCAATTTTATTTACAGGCAAGTATTTAATCTGATTTTTTTTGAACTTTAATATATTTAAATAAAACACTTTAACGGTTTAAAACGCGATATATTTTAGTTAAACTTGTTTGTAAATTATTTTTAAGCCGTAATGAACCTGTCGTTACGAGATGTATGCTATTACTACTATTATATCCCTTTTTTATTGATTCCCGGGGATTCAAACCCAGAACTAGTATTTTAACTTAATATAATGCAACACGTTTTTCCATTTAGCTACAGAGCTTTTTTTATTGAGTCCAACCGGGACTCGATATACAGAAAGAACATATACATAAAATTGGCCTGTTTGGTTTTAGCAAAAAAAATAAAAACAAGCTTATTATTAAAAAATATTATCATTCATGTGGTCACATACAATATTTATATATTGTGCTATCGAACACAAATATTTTGACGCTAGCTTAGCATTTTTTACTCATGTGCAATGCCACTAATAAAAACAAAAGTGAAAGCCCGTTTCCCCCTCGTGGGGCATGGGGCGAACACATTTCTGTGTCCGTTTCACTGAACCGTTTTTTAACGGGCATGTAGTTGATCAGACTTCTATGCCCTGCCCGACCGAAATAATTTTATGTTTCCCTGGGATACGAACCCAGGAACTCTCGCACTTAACGCAATACTAGGCAATACGTTTAACCATTTGGCTATAGAGGCAGTTTACAAAAGCCACTAATGGAATTTACAAAATACGTCAGCAAAAACTCGTCAACACTTGAATAGTCTTATTGCTGAGTACTTTATTTATACCTTTATTAGTCACCTTACTAGATTATATGCTTTGTCGTATGTTGCCATGCCTTAGACGTGGTCAATGTTATATCTTATCATTCACCCAAGTTCAGTGGCGAATTGGCTACTGATAGGACTTAATAGTGCTTATTTGGGTCAAGTTCTTTTAATGTAATCTGTTTTTAGCAAATTATATTTAATGTAATATTATAAAGCTGAAAAGTTTGTTTGTTTGAACGCTCTAAACTCTGAGACTAAAACTGTCTATAATTTACGGAGTAGTACCATTTAAATAAAATACTTTAACGGTTTAAAACGCGATATTTGGTTAAACTAATTTCCAAATAGTAAATTTTTAAATCTGGAAGTACTAACTGCTTGAAATTAAAAAATCTTTTCTATATTTTATTTTTGAACGTCTACCAATGAAAAATTCCCAGCATTAATATAGAAAAGCTTTATAACATATCAGGATGCGACTAATAGGAACGAAGAAACGGTGGAAAAATTGAGAAAATTAGTCTTCTTTGAGAGTTCCCGTTGCGCGTGCTGCGAAAACCGTTTAAGATATCCAAAAAATATATATGAAGATGGATGAAGATTCCTGATGAGATGAGATGGGAATGATTCCTCTTTAAATAATCTAAAAAAATGTTCAGGACATTTATACGTCTATCTTTTAAAATTAACTCGTAAGACCGACGGGACGCGGACGGCGTCGGGGTACCAGTCAACATTTTTAAGACTAAGGAGATTGTTTGCAAAAATAAACTAAACTATTGCACGCGTACGAAGTCGCAGGTGAAGCTAGTAATTAATAAATATATTCTTCAATCGGACATAAGCAATGTCAATATTTTGAAAGCCTAAAAGATAGATATATTAGATATATTACGCTGTCTACCTATTTTTCCTTAAAATTTAAAATTAATTCCGAATTATCATATTCCAGAAAAAACCTTCGCCTCATCAGCCTTCTACGTGCCCGGTGTCCACCCGACGGTGAAAGAGCAGATGGATCTCGCCCGCGCCATCTCCAAGTCCTTGTCTGACTCCAGCAACCACATGTCCAAGGGGCAAAGCATGTACGTCAATAGGAAGAAGCGATCTGTGAAATGGGTTCATGAAGGACGAGGTAATGCAGCTTTACACTCGAGAGCAATGAATTGGGGTTTCTAATTAAGAGAACTATTTAGATAAGAATACGATTACTTTACGCCTATTAAGAACAAAATCCTAATTTTTTACGACTATTTAAATAATATTAAATGTATAATTATGGCAAATGAAAGTGTTTTCTTTCTTTTACTAAACTGAATATATCGAAATTACGAGAATTTTTGTTTTTTTTAAGTGACTTTTTTCATTGCTCTCGTAAAACTATATTTTTATGATATTTGAAGCTTACTAGTGGGGAGCTTACTATAAAATGAATAATTGTATTTATGTAATTGTATAAGCGTTTGAAACTCGAAAATAAAGCATTCTTGCGGCTGTGTTTGCAATTTGAATTTCTGTAGTACTCATAGATATTACTATAATTTACATTTTATATCGTTTTCAGGGAGGAACACATCCAACACCTCCTCAATTCCAACACCGGTCGCCAACCACGACACGCCGTACCGCCCGCCATCTAGTCTCCGCAACCAGAAAACTTATCCTAAATCGGCGTTGAAACACACATCAAATATTCCTAAAATGGAGCCCTTCCCCGTCACCGCACCGACAATATCATTGAAGAACGTGGAAATTCCAGTGCCTCTGGCCCCAACGAAGTTGAATGATGTCTATGCGTCTCCAAAAAGCCCCCGTCTTCCGCTAGTCTGTGGCCCGAACTTTAATGTAGCACCTCGCGGTTGGGGCGAAATGCAAGATTATTACAGACCGGTGACACTAGATGGCGTGGGACAAACACCTCGCGGATACACAGATTATTAATGACACAGACATGACCTTACTATTAAATTATATTAAGTTCATGTTTAATAATTTATATTATTTTAAGAGATAATAGTTTAATGGAAAGAACTTAGGTTAACTTATGTCCTAATAATAAATTACAAGATAATCTTTAGAAGTGTTATACTTTCATCACTCTCAGAACTTTAGCAGTTCCCACAGTTAGGAGTTTGGGTTTAACATTATAGGTAAGGTGTGAAACTGAATGGTACATAATTTGATGGCTTCAAGTAATAAGAAATCAAGCTTATATTGTATATTTCAAGTACTACCAAAATATATTTTCTATGGCACTTTAATAATTTTGTAGTGTAAACAATGTATTTTTTTCTACAAATGTAAAAGCGAATATGGTAAATATTTCTCGATCGTAAAAATATCCTTATAATGTAAGCTGGAAAAACAATAAAATATTAAACGATACTATGGTTAATATTTTCATAGCATTTCAATTTTAAAATATATGGGTTTAATTTTTAAATGTTTGTTGTTGTATTTTTATAGTCAATAAACCAAACTAGTCATAACACTTGTTTAATTTTAGCAACATCTACAAAAATTACTTTGTCCTATTATGGTAAGACGAAAGTTCTCATACATTTTTAAAACGTTCATATTAATTTCGATCAAAGTTATTCCCCTTGCGTCTTGGAACATAACACATACTAAAAATACATGAGATATATTTTTTAATTTAAAAACCCTATAAATTGATGTATATGAATTATTAGATTATCATTCAACATATTTGAGTCTAAAATATTTCGCCATAACTGACGATTTATGAGGTAACCTTCATATGGAAGAATGGCTTTGATTGTACTATTCCAAATGTCAGTCTCGTGGTTAGCACCACCTGTTTTGTGGTTTTGTTACGCACGTATTCTGTAAACACTATTGGTACATCCAAGATCTTACATAATATAGAAATTAAGCCTAGACTAAATTTGCAGTTGTGTTAACGAAACTATGATTTTAATAAATCACTTTTAACGGTATCAAACGCGAAATGTTGTTAACTTATTGCTTACAAGTGGCGTGGTCAGGGGGGAAACGTCGAACCGTATTTAAATAAATTGTGAATAGATCTCAGAATCTATTAGTTAATTTAGTGTTTTAAACCGTTATAAGTGTTTTTTTTAATGTGTTCTACTTGCGTAAACTACAGTCCTTAACATATTATTAGTTACTTTAAGTCGTGATATTTTTTATGACGGAGACAAACATACACAAAAATCATTTACTTGATAACATGTTACTTAATAATATGTTATTCAAAGAAATTGGCTTTTTATAATCGGAATCTAATATTTAATGAACAAACATAAGGATCGTTGATTAATTGAGGCTTCTAGGGGCAGAATGGCCTAATAACAAAAAACATTTTCAATAACGAGGAAAATAAAAATGCGTTATTTGTGTAAGATAACAGTGTTAGTCACTGTGCTCTTGGAGATTAACATTTTAGATTATGAAAAAATAAATAACTCAAGTCATAAAATTACAGTTAGGCTACTCTGACTCTGGCGCCCTCAGTAGTAAGTAGTAGGATGTGAAAGTTATATAGGTATTTATTACATTTTTATAATCACTTCTTTCTTCAGAGATCTATTTTTTCTCCACCAGATGGTAAGATAGAAAAAATCATCGCACGAATATTATATATTTTTTTGCTGACGGTATCAATCCATTAACGAACTCGTTTTTCACCTGTACACTAAGTTTACGGTAGCTAATTATCCTTACTCAATATATCCATTAAACTTTTCCGCGTGCTGTCTGGCGATCATTTGCTTTCTTTGAGACCTGATTTTAGGGTTCCGTGATTACAGGTAAAACCCTTAGACAAAGAAAACTGAAGAGATCTTTTCTCTCATTCATTTCATATGTGAACAACGCAGAGTTAGTGAACAATTCTATTTAAATTTAATTTTTCTCCGTCTTAAGTTAAATAATAGGGACAAGGCCAAACAAATGAACATCGGCGACCGGAGAAGCGAACGGCGAGCCAAACTAAGGAGAGCTAAGAATTCACCGATCTTCATGGCTAGGCGGAAATTAACTTGTAAGGCCGCTTCCCAGCAGCTCAGTCTTTCTTATGATAGAGAAAGACAGATAATCATGAGGCTCAGTAAAGCGAAACAACACAGTCGAATGACATTAACAAGATGTGTTGTGGAACTATTCTGACTTTGGATATTCGATAGCCCACAGACTGAAACCGAAACACGATTAAACTTCACGGCTTTTTCTTTTCATCAAAGACCAGCAAGTGTCAGTTAAATTCCAAATTTAAAAGTTAAAAATTGCACTTGGCGGGGATCCCACTATCCGGTAATTATAAGCCATGCATTGTTACCCACCAAAGAGCCAATTTCGAATACCAAGTTGTCAAAAGCAGTTTTCATAACTTAAAGCTACGCGAATTTATCTCAACAAATATGTACGGAACACTTCTTATAACAACGACTCGCTCTTGAAACTTTGGCCACACGTGGTCCGTGGAAACCAAACGTGTTTTGAGTTAAGTTCAGTGCGATTTCAACCATCAGCAACGATACTCTGCTTTCGGTCAGTGAGAACGGTGTGTTATGTTATTATTTATATAATAAAGTAAGTTTTTTATAATATTAAATAGTTTAAAATATTTTTAAATTGTATAGTTCTGTAATGTCTAGGTCAAAGGTTATTTTAGCCGGTTCGAATACATTTTAAGTACTTTTGTTTCGATTCAAATTTATTTAATTTTATTCGAGCTATTTTGAAACAGTTTACTTATAAATCATGAGTATGATATAATAAATAAGCACGTATTATTTAAATTAAACACGTTAACGGTATAAAACGCGGTATATATTAGTTAAACTTTTTTTTGGAGATTATTTTAACTACGGCCCAAAGTTTCGGATGCTCAACTAATATACATATCGTGTTTTAAACCGTTAAAGTGTTTTATTTAAAACTATAGCGTAATCATTTATTGTATAAATAAATAACTTGTAATTTTACTTAAGTAAATAAGTAAATTTCTTATTTATGTAAGTAAGATAATGTTCAAATTATATATAAAGCGAAAGACCGCACAAAAACATAAAAGTAAATAATTAATTTATATTTAAACAATTATTATTAGCCTAAACTGCTATTGTTGCTACGTAAAATCACTCCTAAATAGAATTATATGTTTATGTTGTCTACATATCTGTCGTTATCTGTGATTGTGGCAAAGTTCAGATTTTTTTTTTTGCCCCAAAAAGGGGAAACTTGACATTAGTCTAATAGAACCAATATTTTGGTTAAATCAACTGGTCGTTAGTTCGAACCCCGCCGGGTCCAACAACTAATTTTTCAATTTTATAATTTCTTGAAACTAGCTGGCCTTCGTCTGGAAACCTGGATATTTATTTATTTATACTTTTTACACAAAACACGCACACAATTACAATGAACTAAAAATAATAATAATATCTATAAAGTATGGAGTGTGACGGGCGGCCTTATCGCTATTAAGCGATCTCTTCCAGGCGACCTTAGGAAAATAATGTAAAACAACTTAATTAGGGGAATTTAGGATATTAAATGGATGGTAGAAATATATAATTCCGGGTCAAGAACCACTATCCACAGATGAAATGGCTTCAATCTGTGGATTCCGAATATCCAAAGTGAAAATAGGTTGACAGTGCGTCATGTTTAGATGCTATAGGCTGGGGTATCACCTACCATCAAATGAACCATGCCATGTCTGTTCTCCTCTATCAATAAAAAAAATACATAAAATATATAATTTTAATATGATTGAGGAAGGTAATACATATAATTACAAAAAGATATATCTAGCAAGGACAAATATACTTACCTAAAACTTCGTACACTACAGTCTTAATTAAAATTGCGATAGCAAAATTAATGTTTCCTTCCGTCTTATTTAATTATAATTTTCGATTAAATATAAAATCATTTATAAAAGACAATTACAATTTGAAAAAAAAAACAAAAAATGACATCCCGTTTACCTTCGTGGGGCATAGGGCAAACACATTTCTGTGTCCGTTTGACTGATCGGTTTTATTTACAGGCAAGTAGTTGATCAGACTTCTGTGCCCTGCCTGACCGAAACAATTGTCTGTTTCCCCGGGATTCGAACCCGGGACCTCACGCGCTTAAATACTCTTGAAAAGTGTTGCCTGTAGTTAAGGCGAGTAATACACATTTAACGCAATTTAAACGGTTTAAAACGCGAAACATATTAGTTTACTTATTTATATACGTGGTCTCGGCTGCTGATATACATCCGAAACCACGGTCTATATAAAAATAAATTGTTGTTAGGTTCTGTGGGATGTGGAACAAAATATAAATCCCATTTCTCCTACTGGGGATATGAAGAAGAGATTTATGTGTCTGTTTTATTGGTCGAATTTGCGGAAATTAAAACCTTATGTTTTAAAAAGATCTTGCTCCTTCAATGTAATGTTAATAACTAACTAATAGGAGTATTAGTTAGTTTACGAGGGTATAATTGTTTAGTTTTTAACATTGAAAATGACAACTTCGATTAACCTTTTTTTGTCTCTCAACCGACAATATAAAGACGAAATAGGAACAGGTTATCCAAATAAGCCGACAGCACATCTTCACCTCCCATCAAGTAACCCCACGCTTGTTCGTCCTCCTCTATCATAAAAAAAAGATCGACTTCGACAGTTTTACAATTAGATTGCATGATAGGTATTGAACAGTATTGGGAAAATTTGATAACGTGAAAGGTAACGTAGCTTATTGTGCATCGATAGGATGCAGAGAGTAGCGCATTCGAGACCCGGCCATACATGCCATAAATGTTAACTAACTGGTAAAATCAACAAAGATATATAAAAAATATCAATCTATATATTTATGGCTTCGATGGTTTAATGGTAGCAACGTATGGCTAATATACCAAACTAAGTCCAACATTATTCTAATCAATTTATAAT